ATCTGATTGTATTAAAATTTAATTTCTTATACTTTTTTTTTTTTTTTTTTTAATTAATATTATTAATTTTGTTTAAGCAACTTGTACTTTTAAAAAAAGTTTTTTTCTTTTTTTACTCCCCAGAAAAAATTTTCAATGAAACAAGTTTTCACCGTTAACGGATAAATTTTATTTAACTATATATATATCATTATAAGTGAAAATCCGTTACTTTATTTGAGAACAGTGAAAATATTACTTAATTCCTATATTACCATTTTTCTTTATTGTCAAAAATTTTCATGAATGCTACTCTTTTTTTTTTTAAAAGAAATTTAATATAAATATAATTTAATTTAAAATAATATTTAAAACATGTTTGGACAACGGTTTTTATTTTGTTTTTTTTTTTTAAATTTAAAAAGCAATAGTTTTTAAATTTTTTATGTAGGCTTTACTTTTTTATTGAAAACAAAAAAACAAGATATTTTATTTTATATAAAAATATTTAAAATAATTAATTATTTAAAGTTCATAAGATAATCATTTTAAAAAAATGTACCTTGAGATTTAAAATAAAATTAAAACTTATAATCAAATATTTTTATTGTAGGAAAAATTACATAAACAAAGTGAATTGATGATCGAAATTTCTTTTTAGGAAAAAAAAAAAAAATTCAATTATATAATCCTTACCTAAGAAATAAAAATATTCAATGAAAAAAAAAAAAGTCTCAGACATTATATTTCATTTAAAAACATGAGAATTAAAAAAATAAATTAATAAGTAATTTTTTTCTTTCAGATTTTTCTTTTTTAATGGAAGAAGTAAAAAACCATTGAAAAACAACGAGTGCTACATTATTTGAAAAATTTGTTTCCAACTACCAAAAAGTTTTTAATTGTTTAATTTTAAGGTAAGAAATTATTAATTACAATTATTAACATATATGTGTATTGGAAAATATTAATTTTTTTTTTCTCTCATTGTTTTGAAATCGATTTCTCATGTTTAAATTCAAAACAATTTAAATTTATTATTATAAATTATAAAAGTTAAAAGGTGGACAAACTGGAAATAACATATTATTAGAATTATATAATCTTCATTTTAATTTTTTAATATTATACCTACTTATAATTTAAAGGATTTAATCAATTCGAGTAAATTATGAATGCAATACATTAGCATTGACAAAGGTGTATAGACAAACATAAAATGATGCATAAAATAAGTTTTTGGATTCTTATACTTTTAAAGACTTTATTGCTATTCAATGCCCCAAAACTTCTTATTTTAAAGTAAAACATAATTGTTGTCATATTTTAATATACAAAGATTATAGAAAATATAATAATAACAACTTTAAAAACTTAAAAAATAAGCTACTTATAGAAAAATAAAATAAAGCTTACCCTGATGAAATAAGAATTTTCTTTAGAATCCAAAATTTTATCCAAACTGCTCTTAATTATTAAATTATCTTCTGAATGTGAAAACATAGGATTCTTAAATAACTTTTTAGTAACTATATTTTTATCAACCAAATAACTATATTTTTCAGATTCTGAAGACATTCTACACTGTTAAACTTTATCATCACAAATTCATCCATTTAAATACATTTTATGTACCGTAAATATAATAATGAACATGATAATAGAAAATTAAAACGTTCTTGTGTAATGTAAGTAACAGAAAAAGCACTCAACAATAAAACAATCCATTTTATTTGAATTCAATTGAAAATATCGTTTATAACAACAACAAATTAGGTCACTTACTAAACCGCTCTTGACGCTCTCTTCAAACATTTTCTATATCATAGAATTATTAATAACCGGAAATTAACTAACATTATATCCACTTATAAATAGGCCTGGATTATTATAAGAAATAAAAGTTATATTTGAAAAATAATATAAAAATCCAATAATTTTAAACGTTCAACTAAACCAGATTCATTATAATTTTATATATTTTTGAAAATAAAAAATAACGGTGAAAACAATTTTTTTCTACCGGAAACAAGTTTTAAATACAATGTTTTTCCCACAATTAAAAGTATAAAACATCGTTTTTTCTGAAGCTATTAAAAAAATTACATTTTCCTTGAAATATGAAGACTGTAAACTATACATATAGTATAAATTTATAACAACTCAATGGCAATTATTAATATAGCAGTAAAGTTATATAGATAAAGAACTACTGTTGTTTTAATTTGAATATTAATATTTTCTTTACAGAATTAACTACAGGCCGCACATTTCGAATAAAAAAATACGACTTAGTTGTAATCTACTTATCTACACAGTAAACTCAAATCGAAGAAATTTTAAATATTGATGCTATTCACAATACACAGGTGAATCAATTTAATATGAATGAATCACAATAGGTTTAGGTTAGAAAAACTTAAAATTAAACATTTAAGTTTATCTAAACAAATATTTTTACGACAAACTCGGAAAAAAACTTTAATTCACCACAGTTTAAGTTATTTCAACACTGTATTTTTTTAATGCCTTACTGGTGCAAATTAGGGAATCACAGATAATAGGAATGGGTAAAAAAAAAAAAACTAAAAATAATACTGTATTTTAAAAAACCAATTTAATATTTATTTTAAGATTGAGTTTTTATGTACTCTTTTAGTGAATCAAGTGCTGGAGTCTCTTCACCATAATCCTGAAATCAACAAAAAAAAAAAAAAAAAAAAAAATTAAATTGCATACTCAGCATTTTGCAAATAATTACTTAACACAAATTGCAAAACATTAATAAGATTTTATAAAAACAAAAAAAAAAAAAAAATTGAATCTTAACATTTATAATTTTCTTAATAGTAACTAATAGGTAGAATCAATTTTTTAATAAATAATTTATACAAGTTATAATAGGAAACATAAATAATTAAAAAGTAATTATAAATTGACATTACCTTTACAACTACACAAGAACATCCTACAACCTTTCTAGGTTTGCCAACAGCATCAATTTTACAAAGACCAGACCATTCTCCTAATTTTTTATTATTATCAACTTTGATCAAAGGAATTTGATGTTCATTACATAGAGCTTGTACAAGTTTTTTATACATGGGTTCATCACAGTTTTCAGCGAGAACACATAGGTAAGCTTGTCTCCTACAAGAGATTCAAAACTTTATATTAGTTTCAAAAGTTTTATTTATTTATTTGTTGTTTTAAATTTTCATTAATGTCAAACTGTTACAGAACAATATCTGAAACTTTCAATCACAAGGCTCAAAATGCTTGAAAAGGTTGCAAGTAATTTTGAATTGATATACACAAAGATGTACCTACTTGTCTAGCGCCTTAGCAGATTCATGAAGGCCATGAGCAAGCCCATCGTGAATAAGAGCAGTTTTTAAAACTTCTTGAAGGGCAATATTTATATCCATTGGTCCTCCAGCTGCAGCTGCAGAAGGTACATCGTCACTAAAAATTTAAAGCATTATAAATAAATAAAGTAAGCCGTGGAATTGAATGTAAAGGTAAATTCAAACTGAAAACTCAAAAGTATTTGAGGCTTTTAAAACTATAATATGCAATAATAGTACTCTTAAAAAAAAAAGGTTAATTTAATGGCGAAAGATAAAAACTTATTTTCATAGATACAATAATATAAATAAAAAATTATTTACACTTCAACATCCGACATGATGTATTTTTAAATATGAATTAAAATATTTGAAATAGTTAAAGTTTCAAATTTAAATAAGAACGTTGAAAGGATTTTAAAAATATCAACGGATTGAAATTCACAAAAAAAAGTACATTGAGTTGTGTCACTATTATAATTCCAATGTACACAGAACGACAAGTTTTTTATCTATTTCCGGTTTAAAATGTAATTTCCTGTACTTAAATTCAAAGGAAACTTGAAAAGCATAGAGTAAACTTTAGATAAATTCAAATTTTTGCCAGTAGACAGCCATGGTTATAATGCCAGGAATGTTTGTACTGGTATTAAAATTCCACGATATTTGCATTCAAAAATCTTTAAAGATTTTTGGTTAATGCTTTTATTTTTTTAGTTTAATATGTTTTTTATTTATTAAAAAATCAATGAAAGTATTAAAAAATTTTTTAAATGAAAATTATAATTTATTATTTTGAAACAATACGTTGATGTAGTACAGTTTTCTAGTACTTATTATTTTTTAACACCTGTTGATTTATTTTCATAATTAATTTAAAGTGCTGTTATTTTTTATACTAGAATGATGTATATGAAATCATGGCTAATAATGAGTTTTTACCGCTCTGTGATGTACTTTTCAACATCATTTCCTTACTTTGGTATTTTTGTAATGTAGTTTTTGATTTAGTTTTCTCTTATGCCCTTTTCAACCATCAAAAATTTATATGGTTTTGTGCTAGTCTTTCATGTATAGTTTTATCTCTAGTTGTTAATCAAATAATTAGCCTTCGTTTTTATTTTAAAACTTTTCAATATAAAAGTATTTTAAATTCCAAAAATTCTTCTTTAAAAAGGTAAATTTAACATTTTGTTTTTTTTCACTTTTAATTTTGACATCCCATATTTTTTTTTTTAATTATGTCATTACTCAAAAATTATGATTGTAAAAAAGAAATCATCAATTTGAATTGATAATATCTTGAATTGATATAATTTTTATAAAAATATTATTTGTAATTAGTAATTAATTTCATAATTATTACTATTAGGTTATTATTAACAAAAGTACAAAAATACTAATATGAATATTTGTGTAATTATTAAATAAAATAATAATAATGTTTCAGGTCTTTAATTATACTCATACATTTAATTCAATGTGGTGTTTTATGGAGGTATATCAAATTATTTATTCCAGTGGACATAAGATATGTAAAACAGGAAGTCAGAGACCTTTGTTTGTTAAGATTAATACATGCTTTCTGTGAAGCTGCTCCATTATTATTAATGCAGTTATATTTATTGTTCAAGGTAATTATTGATCAAAAAATATTAAAATTATTTATTGAGATTTTAAAAAATTGAAAAGAAATTTTGATGTATTATTAATTATTTGTTTTATTAATTTTTCATTAGGAACCTGGAACAAGTGAAATAAAAAATTTAATATTAGTATCATCTGTACTTAGCTTATTTTCTATGTGCTGGGCATTGGCATCATTCAGTAAAAATGTACGATTGCAAAATGTACACAGACTTGTCTTTACTTGGCTGGGAGTTATATTTCAGGTAAAAATAAAAACTCCTTAAAAAATTTTCAAATGAATTCTTTTATTTAAGTTTTAAATTTATGGTAATTTTTCAAATTGTGAAAGATACATAATTTTAGAAATTAAAAAGGACCTAACTTTATTTTATTATTTTCTAGTTATATCAAATCCTAATCTTTTTTCTCAAAAATAAAAAAAAACATTTTGTATTTTTAAATTGATTCATTTTATAAATTTTATTTTGTACTAACTGAAATATACTTAAATAGATATTTCAGTTTGTGATTTCATAAAAGGTTTAACTCCAACATTTTTTTTTTTTTACAGCTGTTTTGGAGACTGGGCACTGTCGGTTCTAGAGTAGTTGCTTTAACTCTTTATGCCTCTCTTTATGGGAAGTGGTTATTTTTAGTTCTTGGTTTGCATTGGATGTCAATGTTTTTATGGCTTATTTCACCAAAAAATGTATTTCATGGTGAAAAAATATCAAAACATAGAAAAATTGTACTAGCCATATTAATTGCCTTTGTTTATATTTTTTCCTACATAAATTTACAGCAGCTAAATCATCGGCAAAAAATGGTAAAGATTTTGACAGCAAACTATTTATAAGAATTTTTTTTTTAAACACAAATAGGTAATTATACCATTTGATTTATGCACAAAAAAAAAATTTTCGTTCCAGGCTACTTTTTATACGGTGATGTTACTGGAGAATACTCTGTTGGTGGCAGTATGGCTTGCTGAAGTTTGGCCTGATTTTAATTTTTTAGTTCCACTTTTAATTTCTATTTCTTTTTTAGGAGGTAGGTAAACACTTTTAAAAATTGGTTATATTTTTTAGACATTTTATAATTTAATAATTTTTTCTAGGCCTATGTTTTATGGGATTATATTATAAAATATTTCACGTTCGAAGGCTCGCATATTGGTCTGGAGGACGAGATATTGGGTGTGAATATAATGGAAATAACACTTCCACCACAAGATTGCCAAATAATAATGTCAGAGCAAATGAAAATGCCGGGCAAAAAAATGATTTGAACAAACTTTTTGGTCAAAACTTATCCCTCAATTACCACGAAAAAATTCCAGGTATTGTAGAACATATTTAAGTCTAATTTACGCTCCGTAAAAAATAATAATTTTAAAAATCGTTCAACTTAAGTAAAGAATTTTTCTTTTTTTTTAATAGGAGTATTTAACTGCAGATTTTCTTCTCCATATGCAAATACGGCAAAAAGAAAGAAGAAAAAACCGACAACTTTTGTTCCACCTCCGTCCGTTATTATTTTACCTAATTCAATAAAATCCTGCAACAATTCGGAAAATGAACCACAGCAAAATGCTGAAAATAAAGGATATGATTTTTTAATGCATACAATTGAAATTAATCCAGATAAATGCGTGCCTTTTTGGAAACGTCCTTTATCCAGCAACAGCAACGTAAGTTTAAAAAATTAATAAGTAAATTATCAAATATGGGTATTTTAAAATACAATCATAATGCATTTTACGAATTATTATAATTAATTCCTCAACAAATTTCAATTGAACATAAAATAAAACGATTTTTTAAATTTTTTTTCAGAGGGAAAAAGGTTTGTGGGAAACCGAAAATAACAGCATCGGCTCCAAAGTTAACATTCAACACAAACTAAAAGAAAAAAAACAAAAACAATTGGCTGAATTAAAAGTGATTGAAGAAGAAATAAAACAGGGGAAAATTGAAAGAACGAGTTTAAGTGCTGCAAACGTTCCTCATTCATCATTACAGCCGATTCCTAGAACCAAAAGGTTGGTAAAAAAAAAAAAAATATTTTCAAATAAATCTCTTTGCGCTATGTAATATTTGGTGTTTTGCAAACATTTAAAATTTTTTTCTTTTTTTTTTTTTTAGACATATAGAGTCGTTTATTCTTAATCCCACTAAACCATTGTCTACGTCATTGTACGATTTTACGTATCATTTGCTACCGCCTCCAGTCCGATGGGAACATTCCAGAGTCGAAACTCCAGAAATTGTTTTAGCTCCACATTTTTTAGATAATGATAAATGGGAAAAATTTAAATCGTATACATACTCGTAAGTGTTGTTGAGTAAATAATTATTCTTAAACCAAATCCGGTTATTTTTTTACTTTAATTAAGCGATATTATTAATTAACTTTTTTTTGATTAAGAATATCCGACGATGATCAAAGTGAATTAGAAAACAAAGGAAACGATATTTCCGGTACAACATCAAAACGACATAATAAAATGTCTTCAGATGTTGACAGTCAAATGTCTTTGCCACGATCTTTTACACTCCCTCGGGAATTCAAATATTGTAAAGTAAAAAAAAATGATCACATTCAACAATTAATAAGAAGCACTAATTCAAGCGACGGTAATATATGTTAAAATTTATATATAACTTAAATAATAGTTGAAAGAAAAAAAAAAAAAAAAAACTTTTATAATAAAAATTGTGTTTTCGAGGACAGATAAAATAAATTTATTTACAAATTATATATATATATATTGCAGGAGATGTTGATTCTGCTGATGAATCAACAACACAACATGGGCCTGCCACGCGTAGAAGGTTAAGACAGTGCCATTCTCGACATGTTACACACGAAACGAAATTGTAAAAATTAATTATTTTTGTAAACTTAATAATTTTTTTATATAAATTAGTACATAAAATTAATTTTTTACATTTTAATTTGTTCTTGAAAATAATTTTTTTATTAACAGCAATTATCCATTAACATAAAATTTATATATTTTATTTATATAAAATGAAATGGAAAAATTACAATACATGCAATATGCTATAAAAAAAAGTTAAAGTTAGAAAATTAAAATGAATTATAATATTTTAAATGCACTTATAGATAAGCTGAGGGATAAAGTACTAAATAATTATAAATATTGAAATTCCAGATAAACTTTTTTTTTTTCAATTTCTTTAAAATTAAAAGGAAAAAAAAGGTTAAAAGAGTTTAATGTGGCTTTTATGTGCATTTAAAATGCAAAATTTTAATCAAAATAAATAGTAAATTCTATTTTATTTTGAATTACTCTTATTATATGATAGTACTTTTTTTTTGTTAAACATTAATTTATTTTTTAAAATTAAAACTATAATATAATTACTAGTGTTTACATTTGAAATATTCAAACGATTTGTGCTTATTAAAAAAGGCTAATTAAGGTAAATTAATTATTTTAAAAGAATTTTACGTATCACACACACGTCACTAAAATGATTATTTTTCATTTTTACTAGACATGATACTGCATACCATTTTGTGTTTCGACCATCTTTTAACCTGGCATTCACGTCCGCAGTACCATTCATTTTTACAACCAGAACATCTTTTGCAAGCAGCATCACCACAATTGGAACATACCGGTCCCTCGGGAAAAACTTTTTCAAGATGATCAACATCATAAGTTTCACCCAACCTTTAAAATAAAAGTTACCTTTAAAAGACCTTAAAAAGAAACTTACCTTTAAAAGAAAAAAAAAAAAAACTTTTAATATTGATAAGAATAGTATTAAGATTAAATACCGTTTTCCAATTTCCATTAAGGTTTCTTTTTTAGGAAAAAACATAAGTTCAACTTGTTTTTTAGTAATTTTTTTCCACTTTTTAAAACATTTTTTGAGAATATTACTTTTAATTTCCGGTATAGTTTCCATAATTAAAGGTTTTTTATCATTAATTAAAACATTTTGAAAGGATAAATTTGTAAGAAATTGTTTTAAATCCAGTAATGGTGGAATTTGATCGATCAAAGGTTCTGTCATTAATTTCAATACCTAAAATTAAAATTTATTCTAGAATATTTAATAATAATTGTTTTAAGTTTTTATGGTACAAATATTGCACCATTATATTCTTTGAAAATAAATAGGCATTAAAAAATATTAGTAATACGTGCCTTTAGAAAATGTTGCTTTCTAAAGTCATTAATTTCATATTGACTTTGAGGGTTTAATAAAAGAAATCTGAGAGCGATCCAGCATTGTCCTTCATATTTTGATATTCCAGATATCTTGTCTATATTTTTCCAAACTCTGAAATAAAATAAAATTCAATTTTTGTAACATTTAAATTGTAAAATGCATAAGCTAAGTAAATATGTGAAGTTAAAATAATGTTAGACAATGGCTTATGTTTAATTTTTGTACTATTTTATACTTGGCTTAAAGTCTGACTGGATAATACATTTTGCAGGATTTTATTTTATATAAATTACTTTGTACCTGTCTTCAAAAATTTGTACTGTATTAATTTTAGAGTTGACTCTCTTCCATGGAGACATTTGTATCAAGTTAACCATTAATAAAGGTACATCATGAGTTTTGTACATTCTAGAAGATGCTGATAATGGAATTTCTTCAACAAATTCAGCAAGGTATCTTAAAATATTAAGTGTGGAAAGTTCAACATTAAAACTAATTGTCTTATATTGACACTTAATTTCTTCTTTGTTGCTAGTGTATGAAGATTTAGTATCATCTTCTGAACAGTAATCCTATAGGAAATACTATAAATATTTATAAACTGTATTCAAATGGTAAGTAAAAACTAAACTCATAGAAAAAAACCTTGCCTCTGATATTAGTCTGACAATTTCTGATGCACAGTAATCAATGAGATCAGTTATTTCATCGTTAATGCAAGATACTGAATCTCTGTGATACAATACGTTTTCTAATAAACCGACTGCTGTAACTTCATGAAATAATGTAATATAAATAATTAATGTAACCTGAGGCTCATAGTTTAGTTTAAGAATTTGCGACAATATTTTTTCTCTCCAAACTTGAATACAAACAACTTCATGAATAAGTATCGGCAACTAAAAAAAATAAAATAAAAATAACGAAATGATTTGTAATTAATTTACATAGTTTAGAAAGATAAAATTAATGTTTTACAAAACTTACCTTACAATGTGAAATAAGTAAATCTTTAACAACTTCTTCTCGCATCTCTCTAGCTTCAACACAAGATTGTTGATGTAATTTTTGAAGAAAATGATGTGATTCGAACCATTTAGGTGTTCCTAAGTCTTCAACATTACTAGGAAGCAGGTTTTGAACATATAATTCGATTTCTCCAGGTTGAAGAATATCGTTGAGAATTATTTCACTCATCTTTAAAAATTCAATTATGCCGCCATTCGTAAACAAACTACGTTAGTCAAAAAAAATTTTGTCAATAATTTCAAAAGTATTTTTTTTATTTTAATTTTAATATTTTATATTAAAATATTTATTTTATTGATTTAATAGTTTATAATTAACAAATTTATTAACTTAAAATTTTAATTAAAAACTCTTCAAACAATTTTGGCGTTGAAGCGGAAATAGACGTTAACATTAACGGTCATTTGATCAATAACACTTTAAGCGTGGGTTCGTGTATAATAAGTGTCAGATAAATTAGTTGTTAGTTTGTATGTTATTTTATTTTTTATAATTTATTATTGTATAGCTTCACAAAATGGACCCTTTTACTCAGGTAATGCTATTTTATTGATAGAAATAAAATTTTAAATATACAAAAATTTTCTTTTGTTGAAAATGAATTATTTAAATGTCATTTTAACTTGGTGTATTAGTATATAATTTTCTTTGAAAGTATTTGTTCTTTTTAAAAACGGGTTTATGTCGAAAACGTTGATTTAAAAATTTGTTTATACTATATTTTTCATCCACAGAGAATGCTTGAGCGTGCAAAAGTTAGACGTGTGAAATTAGATGGTCATATAGCCAGTAATAAAGATAAAGATTCGAGTATCTCTCATAGTAGTCAAGGCTTGGTCAATGAAGTTTCCAATGCTCATTCAAGCAAAACCAACATTAAAGATGAAGTTTTGGATCCAACTGAAGCTAGAAAAATGAAACTGAAAAAATTAGCCTTGCTTTATTCTTCAAACTCTAATACAGAAGAGAAAGAAAATTATGAGAAAATTTCAAATGAAAATGTGGAAATATCCTGCAAAAAGCCAAAGCATAGGCTTGGAAGGTGAGTTTTATAATATATATTTTATAACTTTCTCAGGTTTTATTTTTCTACTAGTATCAAAATTTAAATAAAATTTTATTATCTTTTTTCTTTTAATTCGTTTCGTAATCGAGTAAAAAATTTTATTATAATGTTGTACATTTTATTTTTTTAAATTATTAAATTTATCGTTAGCTTAAAAATAATGAAAATTATTTTGTTTTTTAGATTGGCTGATTTGGTTACTAAAATTAATGAATGGGAGGATGATATGTCACAAAAAAGTAGTACACAATCGGTTAAAAATAATGTAAGTATTTGTCGTTTATTACGAATCAATTTTAAAATTTTTTTTTAAATTAATTTTTCTTTTAAATTTTTCCAATTGTTTGTTTAAACCTTAACTTGTGTTTTTACAATTAGTTCATAATGTTTTCATTTCGCATGTCATGTTCTTTTTACAATAATGGTAATAATGAATGTAGTAATTTCTACTTGATATTTTATTTTTTAATTTATAACTTTACCTTAAAAATTATCTATTTAATTTTTTAATTAGTGATTCATTAGTGATAGAGTAATACAGAATATTTTAAAATTTAATATTTGACAATGTTTTTCAAAGTCTTTTTTGAAAAATCTTTGCTCAATTATCTTAATATTTAAAATTTTTGAAGGATTTTTTAAAACTCAAAATGTATTGTAATATATTCTCATTCCATTTTTTTTTTATCAAAATAAATTTTTAATTTTGAATATTGATAATAATACTTTATGTCAATGATAAGATAATAATAATTTATTATTATTTTTTTTTTTTTTAGAAAGAAACATCAAATGAAACTTCCACAAAAAACCCTTGTGTTTTGAAGCCTCCTGAAGAAAAAATGGTGAGTATTATTTATAGTGATATTAACTAATTACTGTTTTAAAAGTGTTTTGATAGAATTTTAGAGTAAATGAAATTAAATAAGTCAGTTTTTTTTTTTTAGCAAGAAAAAGTTTTATTTTAAAAAAATTTCAATTTATTTTTAACTTTCTTATTCATTATGCATAAATAATTTCAATAAATAAAATATAGTTTGGTAAATAAATGGGGTTATTGTTTAAGTTATACAAACCACTTTATATATTTAGCTTGTCAAATTATAATGAATACTTTTATTTAAGCTTTTTATTTAGCCTTATCTTAAGTTTAAACTAATTTGTTAACTAATTTGTTTTTTTTTTTTTTTAAAAAAGGTATTTAATAAAATTTTTGTTTTTAGTTTTCTCAGGGGTTTACATTGTCAGAAAATAAATATGTATATGAGTTTAAAGACAAAAAAAAAGACGACGTCCGTGATATTTCAAAAAATAATCAAAATGAAAGTGATAATGTATTTAAAACAAAGCCCGTATCAACGCATATTCGTCAAAATCAAGAAAATAAAAGCAATGTGAAACATTTGAATTATGAATCAAGTAATCAGTTGAAAGATCCTGCTGAACTTTCTATTGCAGAAAGAAAAGCTTTATTTGAAAAAAATTCAGGAACTCATTTACAGAATTTTTCAATTAACTTTTTACCTGAAAAATCAAAAAAAATTTCAAAGGAAAATCAAATTATTGATAAGAATCATCAGGTTAATGATAAAGACACAGAATCAATCAAGGACTGTACATATAAGTCTCAATTATCTTGC